AATGCCTATAAAAACTATGGATTTCTGGGCCATACCAACTAGAGAAGAAATTCTGAAAATGTCTAGGGATCAAGGAACATGTATTTATAATGAGCACTTTAGGTTTTATTGATAATAAGGCCCATATTTGGGAACCCTGATAGGTCCTACATTTCACCCATGGTGTACTGACCTTCATACTTATGCTCTTAGAACAGCGGTTCTCAACCTGTGGGTCGCGACCCCTTTGGGGGTCGAACGACCCTTTCACAGGGGTCGCCTAAGACCATCGGAAAACACATATATAATTACATATTGTTTTTGTGATTAATCACTATGCTTTAGTTATGTTCAATTTGTAACAATGAAATTGGGGGTCACCACAACATGAGGAACTGTATTAAAGGGTCGCGGCATTAGGAAGGTTGAGAACCACTGTCTTAGAATAAGAGGGAGGTGGGCAGAGGGAGAAGACAATTTTTTTTTGTTAATCCAGCTATTTAAACTTTCTGGTTGGGTGCTCAAAAGGTGGTTTGGGCAAGCCTGGGTAGAACATAGTGATCCAATTCACCAAAATGTCATATAAAGGAACAGATGTTGGCGGCAAATTGGTGACAGTAGAGCACAGGAGCCAATATTGTGGACTTAGTACAGTGTAACCTCAACCTTGGTAAGTTTCAACTTCCTCATGGGTAAAATGGGAATCATAAAAGAAACTACCACATAGGGTTGTTGTGAGAATTAAATAAATAATGTAGATGAAGAATTACACGCAGTGCAGTGCATGTGATAATTCAAACAGCGGGAAAATTACTTCGGCTCTGTAGCTCACGCTCTGTTTCATTAGTGAAGGGGAAGCATAACACGAATAATTTCTATGTTCTTTTTTGGAATCCATTTTGTTGCCTTTATTTGGTTATAAGTATGTGTGTCTTTCCAAAAATTAGCAGTGTTTCAAAAATTATGATGTAGCAGCATTAAATTCAATGGCCAAATCTATTAATTCACTAGAGGTTACAAAATGTCAATATTTTAATTCTATAATTCCTTCTTCATTTATTAGCTGGGCTACAAAAAGAAATTTTTGCTCACCTTGGGGAGAGTTGGGAGATTTCCAGCTCTCCCAAATTCCTCCCTTGTTCCTACCTTCATGTTCATGGTGGATGCCGTTTCCTCTCAGTCCTCTGGACTGAGAAAACCTACCCTTTTGTAGTTTCCAGGCTGGTGGCTTATACTTTAGCTCGGAAAAGCACAGGGTGATAGAATTTTGGGTATAAAAGAACTTTTCCTAGTGGCTAAACTAAGGTGTA